GGGCTCCTTCCCTCACAGGACTCCTGGCCTGTGTGATTTGCCTAGTGCTAGGGCAGCTGAAGGGCTCCCTGTCCTTTGCAGTGGGGGGATTTGAGCCATCTCTGTTCCCAGTCCCCTCTAGATTGGCATGTGGGGGAAAGAGTCCAATCAGAAGCACTTCCTAAACATCTAGAGAGAGACATAAGGAAACTGGTTGTGGGAACGCTGGTCCCAAGCCAAGATGTAAGTCGATCTTGGACATGAATGGGAGATACTGTGGCTTTGGGAGATCGAGACCAGGAGACTAGACTCCAGAACAGAGCCCCAGCTCTGCAGCATCCCAACATCATGGGATTCCTTTGACTGTGGGCCTCCTGTGTGCCTCCAAGAGCTTCTCTTGGCCTTTCAATGGTCCCACAAGGGAAGTGTCAATATCCTGATCTAGTAGTGGGAAAACTGATAGAGAGGTGAAGTCACTTACTTAATGCCTCCTAACCAGGATTCAGATGAAAACTCTCCAACCAGGTGACCTTGGACAAGTCATTTCACGGAAGTGTTTGACTATCCTCATCTATCAAATGGGCATTAAATCCTGCCTTCTCCCTAGAGCTCTTTGGGAGCTCAAATGAGGGGGTAGGGTGGAGGCAGAAGCCCATTATGAGCTGGAAATCCCTGTATACTCAAGACAAGTGCATAAGGTGCAGGGTTCATCTTGGGGTAGCTAGAAGGAAGGTGTGGAGGTATATGTTGGGGCTATCTGAGTGTGCATGTCCTCTTCTTCTTCTTCTTCTTTGAGAGAGAGAGAGCGCGCATGAGTGGAGGGGTTGGGAGCAGAGGGGGAGTGAGAGAAAGAATCTTAAGCAGGCTCCATGCTCAGCATGGAGCCCAATGTGGGCCTCGATCTCACGACCCTGAGATCATGACCTGAGCCGAAATCAAGAGCCAGACGCTTAAATGACTGAGCCACCCAGGCACCCCAAGAGTAAATGTCTTCTTGTCTGGGTTTAGCCAGTGACACAGAACTCGGGCCCATGGATGACTTTTTTCCCAGGCACTTCTCAGTGGTAGCGATGGGGGACATGAGCAGACCTCCCAGGCTGCACTGCTGGCTGTGGGATTTTCTTGTTCCTATGGGGTCTGTGGGAGCTCCTTAAGTAAAAGAATGGAAAGCTTGGCTTCACAATGTTGTGACTTACGGAGGAATGAAAGAGAAAGGGCCCCTTTGTCAACCCCCAGAGCTTAGAAGCAAATTAATAATCATAAATAATGATAGTGATGATGATGGCCATCTCCCACATTTGCTTACCATGTATGTGCTGGATGCCATTCTAAGTCACCATTCCCTAAATTCTTGCTAAGTGCCAGTCACCTTTCTGAGGGCTTTATGAGAATTAACTCACTGGATCCTAATGAGTTACCAGTTATTATTCCCATTTTACAGATCAGGAAACTGAGACTCTAGGAGGTTGATAAAACAAACCTACCTAGGTTGTGGTGAGTTGGTAGGTAGGAGTGATTTCAGAGGCAGGCAATTTGACTCCCAAGCTCACGCAAGTTGGCTTTTTTCTCTTCTGTCAGTGTGTTTCTCTGGGATCTGATCGCATTTGGCAATGCTGTCCAAAGTTTGAAGCTGAGCCCGTCAATAGTGGGGCTGGGTTATACTTCTTCAAGCTCCTCTCCATGGCACCTCCTGCCGTCACCCTTCTGCGATAGGACCTGGTCCCTCCCTATTCCTGGGCCTAGATATGACGGGGAGTGTTCATTGAATGGAAACATTTTGATCGGTAGGAAAGAGCAATGGACTGAGAATCTTGTGCTTGGGAGGGATCAGGTGCAGGCTTGGCCAGGGACAGGCTATGGGGCCTTGAGCAAGTGGCATCCCTTCTCAGGGTCTCATCTGCTCTGTAGAGTGAAGAAGGTTGGACTTGAAGGCCCCTGGCAGACCTGTTACCCTGTGAAAAAATAGTTTGGGGAACTTGACCAAAGTCACCCAACTCATTGGTGAAATGGTTAGGCTCAATCCAGAGCTGTTGTCTCCAGATCTGGCTGCCTGGAAAAAGAGGTGGATTGCTACAATGTAAGCTGTCCACAAATATCCCAGACTGAAAAGAGGAGGAAGGCACCCGGCAAGATTTGGGTGGAGGGGGGTCTTTTCTTACCTCCCTGGAGAGAACAGATTTCTTCTCTGGTCTCAAGCCACTGTGCTGGGAGGGGTAGAATTCTTCCTCTGACCCCCAGGCTTGGCTTCATGACAAGAAAAGGGTGGGGACTCCATCTTTCGGTTCCGCTTCCTCCAGTCATGGCTGGCTGGACCTTTGAGGCAAGTCTGTGATGTTTGGGTTCCCGCAGCCCCCACCCAACACATTATCAACAGGCAGCCCCAGCCAGGGCCCCATGATGGCCTGGAAAGTTCATTCTCCGTGATATCCGGGGTCTGTGCAGAGACCCTCCATAGGTAGTGAGCATTGTTAATGAATCAAATGAAAAGCAGCAGCTGGAAGGCAGTGGTGAGTTGTGTGTGTGTGTGTGTGTGTGTGTGTGTGTGTGTGTGTGTGTGTGT